ACATTAAATTAGTTTTTTTTTTAAGAAAAAATAAATAAATTATTGGGCCTTTCTTACATATTGCATACATATATGGTATAGATTAAGTTGGGCCTTGGTGCCCCTTTCTTCAGTTGGGCCCTGGGTTGTTGCCCAGGTCGCCCTGGGCCAGGGCCGGGCCTGGAAAGAGTATACACTTATCATGTTTCAACCTATATTCTTGGAAGGAAATCGGATAAAGAAAGCATCCTGCTTGAAAAAGACTTCACGCCTAAGGAGTCCATTGAAATATTTTCTTGAAAATCATGAAATAAATCGAGATTAGAAAACTGCTTCATTAGAAAAGTACATTGCAGCTGATAAATAATGTAAAACTCTATACATCAATGTTTTATCCTCTACCATATATATAGATGAATGAAAGGCTGATATAACTGGTAGTTAGAACAAATCAAAGGTTGTAAATGATGCCAACTCAAAAGCAATAAAGCAGCTTAAGTTTTGTCTTCATGCTGAACATAATGCCTTGACTTTGTCTTGATGCATGGCTCGGTTTAACTTCATGCACATGTGGAACAATTGCAGCTTTATTCATCAAGGCTGAAATATATTACTTGCTAACACTCCCTCTCAATTTGATCGAGGATTCTGAAGCAATGCCAAATCTATTTCTGAGTTGAGAAAAGAATTGAATAAATAGAGGTTTTGTGAACAAATCTGCAACTTACTCAATAGAAGGCATATGATAAACATCCAGCTTGCCATTTTCAATTTTCTCTCTAACAAAGTGATAGTCTAGCTCCACATGTTTGGTTCTACCATGCATGATAGGATTAGAGGCTAAAAAAATAGTACTTTGATTATCAACCCAAATTACTGGGGTTTTTTTCACTGGTAAACCAATTTCTTCAAGCAATGCATTAATCCACATCACCTCTGAAGCAGCATGTGCAAGGCTCTTGTACTCTGATTCAGTGCTTGATCAAGATACTGAAGCATGCTTCTTTGAGCACCAAGAAATCAAACTTTTCCCAAGAGAAACACAATATCCTGTCACTGACCTCCTATCATCTAAGTCTGCCCCCTAATCAGAATCTGAGAAGCCATTTAAGTTCAAGTTTGGTGATCTCTGGAAATGTAAACCATAGTTTGATGTCCCAAATAAATACCTTAAGATTCTTTTTACTGCTTTCCAATGTTTATCCAAAGGAGAGGAAATATATTGACTCATCTTGTTCACTGCAAAGCTTATCTCTAGTCTGCTAATGGTCATATATTGTAGTGCTCCCACAACACTTCTGTATAGAGTCCCATCAACAGTTGGATCACCATCATATTTGGACAAAGCCGGTGTAGTGATCATAGGTGTAGGTATCCCTTTGGCATCCTACATTTTCACTCTTTGTAGAAGATCCTTAATATAAGTCCTTTGGCTCAAGTGCAGCCCTTCACTTGTTCTTTTGATTTCTATCCCAAGGAAGTGTTCTATATGTCCAAGGTCTCTAATGGCAAAGACCCTTTTAAAACCATTCACAAAGTCATCAATCTCCTGATTTGAAGTGACTGTTACCAAGATATATCAACATAAAGCAATACAAAAAGATGCTTTCCACTTTGCATTCTAATAAATAGGGGATTGTCTTCCTTAGAGTCAACAAATCCCATTGATTTCAGAAATCCTTTAACCTTGCTGAACCAAGCTCTAGAGGTTTGTTTCAAACCATACAGTGTCTTGTTCAGCTTGCAAACCATTCCTTCTTTGTCTTTAGTTTCAAACCCAGGGGGTTGTTTCACATATATAACTTCATCCAAATCCCCATTTAGGAATGCATTACTTACATCCAATTGCCTTACATTCCATGACTGATTTACTGCTAAGGTGAGCATGATTATTATGGTATTATGCTTAATTACTGGACTGAAAGTCTCTGAAAAATCAAAGCATGGGATTTGAGAGTATGCTTGTGCCACTAGTCATGCCTTATACTTGAGAATGGTCCCATTTGTCTTTCTTTTGACTTTGAATACCCATTTGCATCCCACAGTATTCTTTCCTTCAGGAAGTTTCTCTAGATTCCATGTATGGTTGTTGGATAGAGCAGCACGTTTTTGTTTCATAGCAGCTACCCACTGTGGTTTGCTTATTGCTTCTACTAAACTACTGGTCTCAGTGTCTTCATTAAGATTAGCTGTATAGGCCTTTGGCTTATATATACCAGCTCTAGCTCATGTTATCATAGGGTGTTTATGTATGACTTGTTGAGACACATCATTAACTTCTTGCTCATTATCAATGGCTAGATCAACAAACAAAGGCACTGTTGAGTGGCTGCTGGTAGTGCCCCTTGATCTTGTAGAGCTTGAAGTTTGGTTTGAGTGACTCTCAGTTGTTCTTATCTTATGAGAGCTTGCAGGAGAATTAACTTGATCTTGGTTTGCAACCCTTTCTGGTTCATGAGGAAAAGATCCATCTGTTGTGATCACTGTGGGAATAGATAGTGCACTAAGAAAGATGTATTAATGGGAATTGCACCATCTACTTGTTACCTTTTAGCATATGGAAAAACTGTTTCATCAAAAACTACATTTCTTGTAACTATGATCCTTCTATCTGGTAGAAGTACCTTGTAACCCTTATATTGATTATTGTACCCTAGGAACACACCTGC